CGTCCGAAACTGTGATATAGGTCACATGTTGGAGGTTGTCAAGTTACTTTTGTGTGGATTTTTAAGTGCAAAATCATGTCCATTGGTCTATAAACGATGTAGGGTGATGAGGACCTAGCTTCACTAACTGACAGACTGAATGCTAATTCATGTTGGCGTTTCAAAGCGCCTGTTCAGGGATTAATGCTTTGACTTTGAGGAGTACTTAAACATTACAGTATGTCATCGTTTCACTAGTATTTTTATGAAATATTTTACGTAAATAATGAGTTTATTTTGTAATATCATTAGTATCATGATCAACAGCTCGTGACCAGATCACTCCTATGGACCTCCTTTACGTCAATAAAAGGGTATGCCATGCTTGCCTGCCAAGCGTGATTATGATAATTTAATTACCATAGAACACGATAAATAAAAGGGGTTTAAAACAAAAATTAACCGAGCGAAACTATAAGAAACGAATGACGTGAATTTTTAAAGTATGCTACGCAATGTCTACGAGGTTACTACGCTACTACGCTAGGTGATGACTACGAGGGTGCTACGAGGCCACTAGATAAGTAGTAGCGGAGTGTCCACAACGACGATACGCAAATTTTTCGCAACAATCATGCATTTTACGTCGTTATTTATTTCATGAGCCAATAAGACCTTCGCTTACACTAATATTTTCAATACTATCAAGCAATAATTTTTAAAGAAACGTCAGCAATTTCACGGATTAATAATCACTGTCATATTATGTAAAAATATCAATATGAAGTTTTGTAATAAGCCTATTAATTTTACATTTTCATATTAAACGAAGTTTGATACTCGTGAAAGATCATAAGATTTATAATTCTTACAAAAAAAAAACAATATACTAAAAAAGAAACATTTCATAAAAAAACTTAAATAATTATTCACGCATAAATCACTGTTTAAATTATGGAATCGTTTAAAGTCCAACTACCACCTACGTTAGCATTTTATAAATAAAAAAGGTACAATGTATTGTAATTAATTCCAACAAGATCGTTTCAAAATGGATCGATAACGGTGTCTGCCTGATGTCCCTTCCTCGCCCTACAGTTTGTTCAATGCCAAACGATATTAATATGAAAAAAACGACGATAACTAAATGTCAATAAGGGTCACTATTTAATAACATTATGTCCAAAAAGGTTGCTATAATATACATGTGTTATTCTATTAAGTAATGAAATTGGAAATTGAGTAATATTCGCTAGATTTTGGTACGGTACTATGTAGGTACTATCGAATGGAAAGTGGCTACCATAGCCGAAGTACAACTGCATCGTTACAGTGAGTGTATTGCCGACCATCAGGAAATTAATTAGCTAGCGTTTTCACAGAATTGCCCCTTCTGAAAATGATTGTTCAAATACCTAATAGATTGAGGACTCTCGATCTTCTGATAAAATGTTAATAAGTCACTAATTTTGATGTTTTTTATTCACAAAGCTGGCTGGCTGTGGTTGGATCTGTACAGCTTGAAAATTGAGCTCAATGTTCTATCGAAGATAATATAATATATTACTTTTCAAATTTTAAGTAAACTATCATTACTTTATTATTGTTAAGCATCTTTCTGTTAGACTTTAATGTTATGCTTATGTATATTTTGATAGCTTATCGAATTAATTACCGAAAAGTAACGACACCTACTTAATATTAGTGAATATTTAAGTACATCAAATTATTCTTTATTTGTATCCTTGTGGGTTACTATTCAAAATGGCAGCGAAAACGTGACACTAACGCCTGAATACTGAAAGGTTACTCAATTTTAATTTGAACTTATGGTGCCATCTCTCTCATTTTACAAAAAAATAGTAGCGACAGAACTATAGGTACTTAAGCGCGACTCAAAATAGAATGGCGTTTGAGTATTTAAACATATTATTTATTTTATTTTGCACGTTTAACTAACTAGCTAGTATTTAAGTAATAACTTAGAATGTCAATTTAAAGAATAAACTGTCATGGAAGAAAATTGTCGGTTTGCCTACAACTAGAAAATAATGATGGCTAATAGAAGCCTTTGACTACTTACAATAAAATTACAGATGTGGTACAAATTACAGACTAGAAATAATATTCATAGTCCTATTACACTGATGTACGCTAGCTTAGACATGTAATCCTGCCATTGTCAGAAAATAACACATGATTTTTTCAGCTAAAGTAACTAAATAGCTAGACTGTCTTGTCGAGGTAGAATTACCACGAAATATACGAAAAGCTTTATCTTAATAATCACAAGTAAAATAATACAAAAAATATCCTTTATAAATGTGGTTAATATGAAGAATATCAAACCAAAGTCATGATCTGGAACATTTCAGCTGGAACTTTTTATGTATTATCTTCTACAAAGCGAGGGATACGCCGCGGGCTACGTTTTGATGATAAAACCTTCATAACGACGAACAAATAACTTTCTCATAACGAATATAATTAAAAATCGACTTTCATTATTATTTATTGTATTTTTTATCTAGCAGGAATATTTGAACATAAACCTTCTTACTTTTATAACAGATTTTAAAAAGGAAAAGTATATACTTTTTTCACTGAATTCACTTCTGTAAGGTAAAGTACCTAAGTTCAAGTTGAGTTTACATTTCGACCTAAGCAGACTAATTTCTGCGCATCGAATTGATCTGTTTTTTATTACAATACCATAATATGGACAGGAGTCCAACATGTACAGGATACGTGGAACGTCAATCAAAGATTGAACAGAAATGAAAACCTGAAATAACTACTCAAATCTATCTTTCTTCTAGATTTTCAATTTTAGCACAAGGCACTAAAGATGGAAATCCAAAAGAAAGTCGACAAATTGGAAGTCTGTTGACCTGCTATGTACTACTATCTACATACCTATTATATATTTTATACTACCCAGGAGTTCATAATGAAATGTCACGCTTGCGATCACTAGATCATCAAGGTCAGAAGGCAGTATACCAATCGATAAGAGAAGTTGTGAAATAAGTCAGTACTTAAGTAATCGATAAAATATAGATTACTTCATAGAGGAGTCGACAGACAGTCGGTCATTCGATATTTTTTTTTATTATCTACACTTTAATTTTAATTGAATAGTCCTTCCGATAAAAACTGGTTGCCAAAAATAAACAGTATTTTTATGCAAGTATAAGGTCGCATTTTCGATTGTCAGGTCCGGAAATCATTGAGATTTTAGATTAAAATACCTAAATGATTTCCGGAATTCCGCAATCATACCAAAATATTGATTTAAGAACTGTGACAAAAAGCTCTTCTGATGTTTAAAATAAAGAAGTACAAAAAATTCTTGCTTTGGCAGTACATACATAATGAACACATACGACTGTCACCTTTAAATTACTAATGCCAAGTTACCAATACCTATCAAGTCAATAGGTGTCTAATACAGATTTCATTTAGGTTCAAAGTGCTTTGTTCTAATAAAACATGTGCATGAACTATACGATATGAAGAATGTAAACTGAAAACTGGACGCAATAAGGACAATGATTCATGATTCATTCCATAAAGATATTTTTGAAACAAAGGATAAGCAGGACGGACTTTAGACTGGGATGGAATTTCTTTCTGCTTTAATCCTTTGTACTTATTGTAACTTACGTAAGACATGTTAAGTTGATTATGAGCCACTGCTCGGATTGAAATTAGTTGAGTTACCTCGTAATCTGTTATGGGAATGTTAAATATTGTTATTGTTATCCTTTGTTCTTAAACTTGTAATCTAGACAAAAAATACCTATAAATATAAAATAACTAAGTAGGTACATAACATAACAAGGTGAATAGTTTCGTTTTCTTATGAGAATAAGGACTTGTGTGCTTAGATGAATCTAACGCATTATCAATACCTAAAGTTATGTTTAGTTATTACATATTTAAATTTTAAGCTTCATTGAATTAAATATTATTTATGTAAGTAATATTTATTAGCAAAACAGAGAATTTGACCATAAAAATTAGTTAACAATACAAAAATACAGAATTGAAAATGTATCCGAGGATGGAGATCGGGACCTTGTGTTTTGCATAGTTTAGTCCGGTCTAAATAAAATAAATCTAGTTTCTAACCCTAAGCGTATTATGGTCGGTCACCGACGGTGACGGTGAAAGCTTTTATATTGTATTTCTTTATCTATCTAATCTTATCATAAGTTAAATAAAATCACTAGTTCACACAAACACATGTGTCCATACGGTCTACCGTGATATGTAAATTATATACCAACTTGAACACTATATTATGCGAGTACGTTTTAGGACCTCTCCATAACCATGTGACAGCGGATTTATGTCGGGACGATGTGACGAACAATTAATTATTTATGCAAAGGACGTCACCTATCCTTCCTAGTGAGCACTTCCATCACATAGAAGCAATCAGTTATCAAAATTGAAAATGCTAGCCGGTAGATAGCAACTTTAAACTGTCAAACACCAAGCGGTCACCGGTGACCGCAACCTATTGTTATATAATTGTGTCTATAATGAACGGTACTCGACGAGTTAAACAGAAGCTGGCTGGTCCCTGTGGGTATTTCAAAAAATATTCGGCGCTCAAGTACCTACTACGAGCGAGCCATGAATAATGAGAACGTAGTATGTAGTATGTTCAGTTACCGAATAAAACAACCGACCCCTGATATTTAAATATGGATTTTTGGATTACAAATGGATATGGCTGTCTCTCGGACACACCGTTCTATTGTTGTTTATTACCCTACGTATGCCATAACTGTCGCGCAAAATGTTCAACCTATAATATTAAACCTCGATAACATTGCTCGTTTTAACATTTAATTAACACAATCATGCATAAAAACTATATAAATAAACGTGGGTTTCCTTGAGATCGAAAACCGGTAAATTTTTGACGCAGTGGTTGATATTGCAGGTGTTTCCATACATGCCAACGTTTATGGCTGCGAGGGAATAATAATAAAAACAAGGGCACTTACTTGCAGTCTCTCGGCAGTGTTTTGATGAACACGTAAATGTGCCTCCTATATCGGTAGACGCAGGGCGCTACGGCAAGGATGACGAATATCGCCGCCTTAGAGAGTGTACTGAGCACGGCGGCCATCGCGGCGGCCAGTGCCATGAGAGCGACGAGCGCTGCCAGTATCGCGTCCATGCTGGCGGGCGGCCCAGTAGGGCGCACAGCGGCTAACTATACACCGGTAACAGATAAACAGTACGTGTGAGTACGATGCGCGATCACTACGCACCGGGGACGCGCGCGTCCATCGACACCGAACAGTTTCGTATAAATGTGGGAAGGATTCGTAGCACGGAGCGGTGCGTGTGCCGAGCGAGCGGCCGCGTCAATGGCGGAGCGCCGGCCTACAGCCCCCCTCGCGCCAGCTGCACATGCGCCGACAACAGCTGATCCTCGAACGGTAGGCGCGCTGTTACCAACCCCAGTTAACTCATCTGAGCTTGAGCGTAAAATAATACCGATATAGGACGCGACAGTTACAAAATTTTTCGCGGATGTCTTTGTTGAAGCTGTCGTTTCACATAATTTTATGATATTTCAATGATATTCCGAATTCAAAAATATTTTTTCAACGGCCATAAACAATAAATGAGAAATAAAAAAAAATGCTAATAAAGAAGGTTCTCATATCAAAAGAGGTGTTACATTGCACTTTCTGTAACATTATTTCAACATACTTAAGTGTTTGTTCGTTATCTCGACATTTTTATCAGTGTCAATCAAAGTAATGGCAATGTAAACTTACCTGTAAGTTCTTATGTTTGGTTGGATGGCTCCACGTTGCCCGGTAGTTGTATCCGCACGTGTTGACAGGTGCACTATACACAGGACGATGCACACATTGCACACGTATAGAATTCATTATTATTCATTATAAATAACTTCGGTCATGGCCACATAGAGCACGATATAGTAGGAGGAAGGAAACTATTGAAAAATGATAGATAGAGCTGTTATAAAACCAGTTCGGTTCTTAGCTTCTTACACTATTTTGTACTTACATCATAACTTTCATAAAATAGTTTTTGTAGAATTTAATTTAATTATTACCTACACGACCACTTTTATACACTCATAATCAACTTGCAAAAACAAACTGAACTTTTTTGGCTTATGGGCTTTTTTAAGGGGGGCAAGTCATCGAATGACTGCTCCCGCCTGGGTGAGGCGGGAGGGTGTCAGACTCTTACTGACTAAAAACCACCCCGATCCTTGTCCTGCACATTGAGCCGGAGCCCCGGTTACCCGTTAGGTTCTCCGCGCAAGGTAATTGCACGCTAAAGCAGTGACCGTTTCGTTATGAGATTTGAATACAAAATAACTATTTTATTATCAAATTCAGTTACTTTTTGTTAAAGGGCCCACCTATTGTTGATATGACGCCGCTTTAAACTTAGTGTAGTCAAAGACTTACCATTTATAACCTCGTAATAAAGTATTCAAACACAAGAAAAATAAAACAACTTTTTTTATGAAAATATACATTTACTGCAGTTTTTTCAGCATATCCCATACCATTAAATAATATAATAATTCTTATAACCTAATTTATGTAACAAAATATTAAATACAATAACCGAATACAATTTCAATAAATATATGAAAGACTGACAAACACAAAATAAAATTTGAGGCAAGGATTTTAAATAAAAACTGTACCATATTTACTATAATTAACTAATAAAAATGAACAATAATTACATAGTAATAATAATGAGAATTCTTTCTTATTGATTTTTATAATTAAGTAAAAATATTGTGACGACAGCTTTAAAACTAACTTAACTGTTTTAATAGACAACCAAATTATATAGAAATAATCCCACACCGAAATCACTTTGTTATATTTAAGTACAATAATTTTTACAAGCTTTGTTTTCAGCGTGTTAACAAACTACCATTTGGAAGATTTGAGGTATAACTGTCGATTTTTTTAAGGAGGGAAAATCATCAAATGATTGCTCTCGCCTGGGTGAGGCGGGAGGGAGTGTCAGACTCTTACAGGCTAAAAACCACTCCGTTCCTTCCCCGGGTTCTCCGCGACATAACTGTTGGTTGGTTAAAAGACTAACTGCTATACTCAGACGTTCGGTCAGTGATTGCATAAACTATTCCTTAGGAACGATTTTGTTCCGAAAACAATAGGGACGATGACAGGGTATGAAAATTAAAAATCTAATTAGTCCGTCAGTTAGGTAATGAAAAAATATTATTCACGTATTTTTTATTTTGATGTATAATAGAATGATACTTAGGTATAACAAATCAAAGTTTAGGAGTGGGGGCTAAAACATCATTTCTACGTATAAAATGTACATAGAAGTGACGTCACGCTACATTTCAAATCAATACATCGTCGAAAGTATTCGTTTCTGTAAAAAAATAAAAATACGAGTCTAATGTTTTAAAACAATATACCAGACGGACTTTAAAATAAAAATTAGGTACCGATTAAATCCCGGCTATTTTGACCCTGGACTATTACTTTGACGTAAGCCCAATCTTCAAGGTGGCTGGCAGTGGTTGGATGAGAAGAGCTGAAGATTGAGCTCTGTGGCGCGCCATTGGAGAGGCCTATGCCCAGCAGTGGACGAACACAGGCTGATGATTAAGCCCAACCAATAGGAATCCAGTAACAAAGCTTATATTTGTTTTTCTTTGGTTTGTTACGGAAAGTAATCATATAAGGTCAAAATATTCCGAACTTTCCGTTTTATCTTTCGTTAAGTCACCCCGTATCTCCAGTAACAAACTGCTCTTAATTAAGATACAAAAAAAATATGTAATGTTTATTAATACAAGCAAAAATATACATAAAGCATAATCAAATACACCAACAATTACCCATTTTAAATTAAATAAACTTTATTTGATTTTAGTTTTATTTATTTCGAGTTCCTTTTACAAAAATGTAAGTACGATGCATATAACAAAAAAGTCTTTTAAAAACTACAGCATGCCTTTTTTCTACCACAGCTTAAACAGATCAGTCCATTAAGAGCTAATTTAATAAATTCATAGATTCCCAACTCCTCTAGAGTCCATGTATCATCGGCAAAGTTTACGGTTGCACATTTTTTTAACAAAATCCTGTGGCAAATTCCTTATTCACCGGGCATTTTTCCTGCGGTCGCTCGCGCTGAGTGCATGCGAATATTCCCTAATGTTGGTCGACCGCAAACTTTGTCGATTGTACATAACATTTTAAATTTGAAATATTTTTTTAAAAGGTCTTTTCCGTAAAGCAGGTTTGGAAAATTGCCTAGGAATGTAAGGTCTAAAAGGTATAGATATATATTTAGCAAAAATAGACACATGTGATGTTTCATGAAGACAGAAGCACAAGAAGTTATATTCTTCATCTTGCACAAAATACGTAATCATGAGAGAATCTGTGGCCATATTTTAGACAGAGACAATAGAACAAGTTAATCGACAATGCATTAAAAGAACAGCATCCAAATTCTTATTTCAATCCCAGCATGAAAGAGACTTTAGTTTTTGTGCTTTGAGTGGCGCCACTATTGATTAAGGACCAAACAGGATCAATTATTTTTAAAAGAATGGATGAAGTAACAGCAATTTTAACCATTAGTGACAGACAATATACTATATAAACATTGTTTTACCACATTCCTCTAATAATAGATACACATTTTTTAATATACAATAAATGCAAAACATAAGGAAATTGCGCATTGTATGCTAAGTCTTCTATTTTGGAAGCAGTGACATCAACGGCTTAGTTTTATACTAACAACATCGCTAATAAAACAGTTTTTAAGTTAAATATGTATATTTTATTTACACCTAGCTACTTCTACTATTTAACCGATGTATAGTCTACAAAAGGCTAGCATACACAGCGAGGTATACAAAACCAGTTTCTCAAGGTCTCGAGTCGTTTAATCTTACTGATCATTCAACGCTCAGTTTATACTGGCTATGTATAGTTTGATGTGTGTTCGCTGTTCGTGTACAAGTTATAGCCATATTAAACTAAGAAAAAATTCTCCTCGTCGATTTTATTGATTTTATGCCCTATAACAACGAATTTAATGTTCGGAATCGAGCATCAAAGTGAACAGTTATGGTTTTGATATATAACAATAGGTGAAAACGTGTGCTTGAGTCAATGCACAATAAAAATTTAGATTTTTACGATTAATGTCATTTTTTTTATAAATAGACATAGCAAGTCTACTGATTTACTAACAGCCATTCCAAATAATATATCTATCAATGGATAATTTACTAGAGAATATTCAAAATTCTGTGCAGTCCAGTTCATACTAACATCAGTAGCAATAAACGTACATGCCATCTGATGGTAAGCAATCACTGTACCCTAAGTACACTTGCAACACCAGAGACAATACTAGGCCCCTAGGCCCCCACCCACAGATAAATTATCAAGAATGGCTGTAAACGTTATAATACAAATAACAACACGAAGACAACAGATTATAAAACAGATCACAGCCTAATTTGTCCACTAATGATTTTGTCATACTCTTCCACGCCTAGCGGTAGATACCGACCTTGTTTTAGATCTAAGTAGTAAAGCTTGTCCTTCTTGGCTAGTTTCGGGTCAAAACCATCCTTTTGTAGATCAGTCTTCTTCATTTTAAATGTACCTGTGGAATAAATATTACTATTACGGTGGTGTTATTTGTATGCGTTTGAAATACATACATACATAATTTCACGCCTGTCTCCCATGGGGGTAGGCAGAGACTATGGAACGCCAATTACTACGATTCGTACATACATACCTCGTATAAAATAGAGTAAGTATATTGATTTACATATTTAATATCGATACACATTAAGCGGTATACACATAATGTGATAATGTTGTCATGCAGTACATAAAACTTACAATTAAGATAGACATAGTATGTTCTATGCAGTCTAATTGCAGTCATTTATTGGTTTTGATAGCAAAATTAATGAAATATGTTAATACATATATACGTAGTCTAATGACTACACTAAAAAAAGTGGATGCAGTATTTTTTGCTAATTGCAAAATTTGCTTGCTGGACGAATCTTCATTGTATTTGTTGAAACACAGGATTTATGGAGACAAAAAATTTACTAGATGTTGAAAATAATAGATATAAAAAAGTATGTGTGTCGGGTGAATAGCTTAAATACAGGGTGTAAACGAAACGCTCTCTGACTAAAACGCTGACAAAAACAAATCGTTTGTACAATATTAATCGTTTTTGTTTTCGTTTTATTCATGCAACATCAGCCTTGAGCAGTTGATTACAACTATTATTACACAAAAGAAACATTTAATTCCTTATTTTTATGAAAATAAAACTTGTTTTTGACCATCACCTCTCGGAAGCGTTCCGTTTACCCTTTAGAATAAGATTCGAAAAGTTGATCGGGATCAGTATCTATCTGTAAAATGGTTTACCCACCAGTCATGTCTAAGCTGTCCATGACCCTGATGAACACAGGTCTCGCGTATACAGGCAGGTCTCTCGCCAGGTCCCTGCACAGTTTGTCCAGGTCCAGGGTACCGTCCACGTCCACTATACCACACATGCCCGCTCTACCCTCCGTGTTGGGTACCTTTTGAGAAAATAGGTATTATTTGTTAAAATGCTATTACTGGTCAAGCAATATTGGGAATTTAAAGCTGAAAGGTTTTTAGAGAAGGTTTTTCCCGCACTGAATAAATAAACCGCACTTGGAACTCTTCCGGTTTTGCGGGTGTCCATGGTTGACACTCATTTCTTACCATCACGTCATCGTTTGCCAGCCTATCCGATTAAGGGCCGATTTATTCAACGCCAGAATATTTTTAATTGAGGAATAACTTTGAATATTTAACAATTCTTCCGTACTAAAAACTGTCAAATGTCAATTTTATTCTACAGATAAAAATTAATTGATAATCGAAAAATCAACCCTAAGAAATATTTTGTGTGATCCACACAAATTACGAAGCTGAGTATGGACACAGGAAAAAAATTTAACGTGGAAAAACGTTTTAGAAAAACGAAATACCATACACTATTACCTTATTGCCATGCTTCGCGTAAGACACTAGAATCCACACTATAACTAAGAATTTAAATAACCGAAAAACTATGTAACACTTTGCCCTAACCGAAGATTTATTTTTCAGCCGGACTGACGACTTGTGATCCACGAAAAGCATCGTGTGTAAAGACTAGATTGGACTAATGAACCTAAATTATCCGCAGGTCGCAACTGCTGCCTCATTACATCTTAAACAATACGTTTACATAAATAAATAAATAATAATAACATGAAACAATGTCTATACAAATAAACCCCTAAACAGGTTGATATTAGTAAATACTACAATCTTTTTCACACGTTGTAGTTGCCGGGTATCCAGCGACGGAACAGTCTTGTACGTTAGTTGTTATACGTAGCAGCACCGGGCGCGTTCTAACATAGCTTTGGCAAGTACCAATGTGACATTTTCCAAGTTATTTGTGTACGTACTTTTTAAGTTTATTAAGACACCATTGACATGCGGTGACGGAAGAGATCGTAAGAAAACCTATGCTTATAATTTCTAATTACAGCTTTGACGAACAGTGGATTTGCGCAAGATAAAAGTATCTTCTATTGAGTCTCATACACCGATAGTACAAGTAGTTAATGGCCATTATTCCTCCATATGAGAACAGACCATATGCCAGCTGTGTACCATATACAGGCTGATGATGACCCGGTACCGGTTAACCGGCAACCGAAGCGTGTGAAAGGCCACTAATACTACATTGTTTACAACCATTCAGATTTAATTGCTCAATGAGTCTGTTATATAACGCTCACGCGGTCACTTGGCAGACAATATATTGTTCATTCACATAACATTATTATGTATTTGTTTGTGTTCAAGATTACATTTTATTTAGTCTAGATTGCGTAGTAGCTGTGTAACTGTCTGACGAAATTCATAAACTGTTATTGTCTAGGTCTAATGTACCTATTTAAATCAAATCATTTATTCCAATTGAGTAGTAAACAGTGTACGAAAATCAGTCCGTCAGTTTGATAATGAAAAATATTAGACACATTTTTTTTTATTCTGTAGTAAAGAAAACAGTACTTAGATAAAACGGAGTTAAGTTTACGAGTTCCGGTTGTTAAGTCACGCTACCCTATAAAGTGCAATAAATCGTGACGTCACACGAAATTTTAAATCAATATTATCGTCGAAAATATTTAATTTTGTAAGAAAATAAAATATACGTGTCTAATATTTTTTTTAAATCTACCAGACAGACATTAAAATAAAATTTAGGATATTATCCTATTAGCCCACAGAAAGCACTTTTGGACGTTAAACAAAATAATGTCTACTGAAATTATTGCCCATTCCAAAGTGTAGATTCCTATAGATGTATTAGTTGATGTACCCACGATACAGGACAAAATTACAGTAAGAGAAAAAAAGTTATTTTATAAAGAGAAATGAAACAAATATTTACCAATACACCATAAACGACAGCGTCTCTATGGTCAGCTACTCTAGAGATGGCGGCTTCAACCTCTGTGGTGGATACATTTTCGCCGCGCCATCTGAACGTGTCGCCAGTTCGGTCGCGGAAGAAGAGGTAGCCGAACTCATCTGCTACTAAGATGTCACCTGAAAAAATATGTAATGAACTTCATCAACAGCCTATAAATGCCCACTGCTGAGCAAAGCTTCTTCTCGCACGGAGAAGGTTTGAGCATTAATCACCACGCTTGCTCAATGCGGGTTGGCGATTTCAAACTTATAATTAGAAATTATAAGTCCATGTTTCCTCACGATGTTTTTCCTTCACCGTTTGTCAGTGGTGTCTAAATAATCTTAGAAAGTACATATAACTCGGGAAAAGTCACATTGGTAGCCGTTAGTAGGTTTCGAACCCGCACTCTCATGCAAGAGAAGCGGGCGTCTTAAACCTCCGGGCCACCACGACTGAACTTGACATAAGTTTATGAGACAAGATCCTACAGTACGGGGTTAATTGTACTTGAGAACTAACAAGTCTTAATTTTTCAATAAGTTTAACACACTTTTATTAGCTTCAGTGGAAGATAACAGAACAGTTCAGTTACAAACGAGTTGCTGGCCTTTAGAGGTTTTTAGTACCAATCCGTTGTGGTCGATTCGGTCCATTCATGATTAAGCATGATTGGCCCACGATCCCATAAATAAAAAACATAAGTATTCATCAGGCACTGGGTTAAAACCCAAAGCCTACCTTATCATAACTGAAAAGAAATAGAGGGGAAACAAGAAGCAAAAAATACTCTTCTAGAACAAACATACCAGATATAAACGCGGAGTCTCCGAAATGGAAGACATTTTGAACGACCTTCTTGTCTGAAGCTGCCTTGTCCACGTAGCCGAGGTATTGACGTGCTGGGTTGCTTGCTTGGATCTTGCCGATAAATACTCCAGGCTCGTTCGGTTCCGCTAACTGTTGACAAATGAGATTTGTTTCAAAATATGTTGCGCTTGTTGCGCAACTGATTTGCGCAAAAATTGCTTTAGTTTTTATAAAATGTTTAAAAGTGAACATATAGGTAATATATACGATTTATTTATTTCTATATGAGCTTAGTTTAGTTGCACATTTGCGACTGCCGGGCAATGGGTTTCGGGTTCGACTCCCGGGTCGGGCAAAGTAATACTGGGTTTTTTCAAAAAATCTCAGTATTAGCACGGAGTCTGGAATTGTGCCTGTTATATGGCAATAGGCTCACCTCCTATGATCCATGGGACTCATAACATGAATAGTGAAAAGTGGGTGTTGCATTGTACAGTGGCATTAAGTGCCGTAATGTACATCTCTGCCAATCCCTTCGGGGATAAAAGGTGTGATGTTATCTATACTTATATTATAAAGAGGAAAGATATGTATTTTTGTATGTTTGTAATGAATAAACTCAAAAACTACTGGACCTATTGCAATATTTTTTTTACCATTAGAAAGCTGCATTATTCAGAAGTAACATAGGCTATATAATATCACGCTAGGTCCTATAGTTGTGGAGCAGTAACCATAAATGTTTTAAAAACGGGGGAAAAGTATCGTTTCTGAAGCCTTCCGTGGCGTGCGCTGAGCATATAGTTAAAGTTATACAAAAATGCTCTATAGATGAATTGTTCATCTTAACATTATTTTTTAAAAAGTCCGCGAAAAACTATGTAAAAAATCTTAAGTCCCCCCGTGCGAACCCGGGACGGGCCGCTAGTGTTATATAATATAATAATTAGTTTAATTACCTGACAAAGTCCTTTTGAGTTTCGGATAGGCTCTCCAGTCTCCTGGTTCACTTTGATGATGGCGATGGGGTATACTTTGGGGAATATCCTGGATACAAAGCCAATGGCACCTGGTGTACCGTCCACATTCGCTGTAATCATATTAAAAGGAACTATGTAATACAGTGTGTTGTTACTTGTATCTATTAGAGACATTTGAAAATTTAAGGCATGCTACCCTAAATTCTAAAAATGATCTATCCTGAGTGATTTTATTAATACCTAATTTATTACCTACGTTAGATTAAGAGCCTGTTTCACAATATTTGAATTAACCACTAAATAAATTTGAATTAAGAACGTAATTTGTAAGAAATATCTGTCACATAAGTTTATCAGGTACTTATATGGAGGTAGTGAAACCGGCGCTGAAGGAGACATAATATTTTATGTTATCAAACAAATAAATATAAATACCTATGTTGGCATTTCCTTCAGTCGCTCCGTAGAACTCTGTCACCGACTGGATGTTGAATCTCTTCACGAAGTCTTTCCAGATCTGAAATAAAGTAAACAATCAAATAGGTAATTATTTCATAAACTGTTTAAAAAAAACCGACTTCAACCTCCTATTTTTTTGAAGTCGACTAATTAATATACTAAAACCTTCTCCTAATTGTAACAAACATTTTTCTGAAAACTGCATCAAAAACGGTTCAGACAATCGCGAGATAGTTGGACACAAACATACATACAGGTCAAAGTTAGAACCTCCTTTTTATCTTTTAACTCGTCGAGTACCGGTTTTGTAGACACAATTATAGAACAATAGGTTGCGGTCACCGGTGACCGCTTGGTGTTTGACAGTTTAAAGTCGGTTAAATATTAGCTTTCTATAAACACACTAGCTACTTCCGCGCGGTTTGACACGCTCTGATCAGCTCATTGGTCGTAGCGAGATGTTTTATAGCCTATAGCCACCCTCGATAAATGCACTATCCAACACAAAAAGAATTATTCAAATCAGACTTGTAGTCACGGAGATTAGCGCGTTCAAACAAAAAAACAAACTCTTCCGCTTTATATAATAGTATAAGAGTATAAGATAAATAGATGGCCCAAGAAGGCTTTAAATAACTTCAAATTTCGTTTCGGAAAGTCTTTCAATTAATACCTATATGATAGTAAAGTAGTGAAAGTTGACCTGTATTTGCAGACATATACATTTAAGTTGGTATAAACATTGCGCATTTGCGCATATCCTATCCTATTAACTGTGGTCGTTATAATTCAAATCAATTACAAGTTATGTGTTTACAAGAATAAACTTAATGTACTATGAACTTAGAAGTCAAAATTAAATAAAACTAAAATAAATTCGCATTAAATAAAATTAAAGTGACGAACTTTGCGACTAAAATAAATTGCAAAGTCACGTCCAGAAAGAGACAATGTTTGTTTGGACTTTGTTTTTATTGTTATCTACATGTAAATATAAAATATACAACGAAATTAATTCTTTACCTACATAAATATGTACTGCGTTTAATAAACCATTAAAAACAGCTGAGTCATTTGTAAGCGTATTATCATAAAATTTATTTACGTGGGAAAATGACTCTTACTGCTTACAACATAAAGACGTTATGAAGGTCAAGTGTGACATGTGGTTGACCTGTGTTCATTGTACTACATTTGTCTTGTATTTTTACAAAATGAGCATCAATGTCAAAGTTCATTGCTCCCTTATTATTTACGAATTAAATTATTCAGGTTATCTTTTCTGCATTTTTGCTGAAAAATATACAGTTGTTTCTTATTTATTAAAATTCAAATATATGCAGAAAGTGTAAAATGACCACAATAAGTTTTAAAATATTCTTTTATTCTCTGACATTTAAAAGCATGGACGCAAATAAAATTAAATGAAGTACGTTAAACTTAATTATTTATTTTCATTTTTTATACTTTAATGTCAATGACATGTTATCATCATTTAAAACAATAAGCTCGAGCCCCGTGGCGTGTTATAAGAGAAATTTAAGCAACAGAAAGAAAATGGATAGCAATAAAAGTAACAATTTCTGATACTACCCCACACTCTCAATGGTTTTCCAACTCTGCTTTATAATAATTAACGTAAGACATACTAAATTAAGTACAAATCGCAGGTTACTCACGTTAATATACTGAGAAAAGCGGTCGCGGCGATGTCGCGCAGCCTACTGGACATCGCCGCGATTGCGCACGCTGCTCATGAGGAAGAACCCCTCTGTGGTTCGAAACTGGTAGAGCTTTTCTAAGGATATTCACGTGAGTAACTCGCGATTTTTAGTTGCTTTCCAACTTTATCTCAAAACAATAAAACTTAAAATTCGTGGATTTAAGGTAACTCACCTGAGGTCTAAGTCCGTTGCCATAGATAACACGCACGCTATGCTGCGTGTCCGCAGGCGAGGGGGGCGTGGCCAACACGTAGCGACACATCTCGCCTATGTAATGGGCAGCCTGAAAACAACATGAAACTAATTTAATATGGCTATTATTTATATTTATTATATTATTACCATAACATCACGCTCTTTATTCTCGAAGGGGTAGACAAAGGTGCACAGTACGGCACTTAATGCCACTGTACAATGTAACACCCTCTTTTCACAATTTATGTCATTATGAGTTCCATGTCATAGGGGGCGTATACTGGCATAATTCCAGACTCCGTGCTACTACTGAGATTAAAAAAAAAATACCAGTAATACTTTGCCCGACCCGGGAATCGAACCCGAGACATCTTGCCCAGCAGTCGGACTTGTGACCACTCGGCCAACGAGGCAGTCTATAGCTATTATTGACCAATATAAGGAAGTTAAGTAATACGTAGCACACCTATTACAAAGGATGACGTTTCGTTTTTTAGTCCCCGAATCGGAGGAGCCAATAAGACGCTCACTTGTCCTCAAACAAGTTATGATATGAGTCCTACGTAATATGAGTTGAGCCTACTGTCATAGCCTCGGCATTCTTCCAGACTCCTGTCTGGCTGTAAAAACAACAGCTGTCAATAGGGACAAACGTCCCTATCGAAAGCTATTGTTTTTTTATTATAGGTATTGATGGCATTTTAAAGTATACTTGGGAGAAAAATGGGGACAAAATTATTAAACGTACACTAAGATCCGGTTGTAATAAGCATTTAGTATTTAGATACAACTGTCAATGTACATAGAAATAAGTACGTATCTTGTAGAACGATAATACATGCACAATGCTAATAAAATAAACATAATTGCAGTTCATAAAATAATGCCACCGATGTGATGATCAATTCACAACGGCCTTGAAATAACTTGTTGAGTAGTAACCTTTATCTCCACGCTACAATAATAATAATTACGTTAGAGTCAATTAACTAGACTATTCTATTTTTATATGATTTTATATGAATCTAAAATAATTAGAAAGTAAGTTTTAATCCTATTTAAAAGTATAGTTCAGATAATGCTCTATTCCTTTTCAGTACTAGCCACTTCTAGCGTGATGTTTTATAGCACATAGCCTTCCTCGATAAATTGACTATTCAACACAAAAACAATTTTTCTAATCTGACCCCTAGTTCCTGACTCTTACGCGTTTAAACAAACAAACAAAATCTTTAGTTTTCTATAATAGTATAAGATAACTTAAGAACAACTAACATTTGAAAAATTTAAGTATGTATATTAAATTCACTCGACTCATAGCAATGATTAACCACAGACCAGTTATTTCCATGCTTTGCTGAGCGTAGCAAAATAATTATAATACACAAAATATGCCAAAATTATAGTAAGCACTTATCAAACGTATATAAAAGCAGCAACTATGGCTATATTAACGAAAATAGTTTAAAAACTTAAATAAACCAAAAATCTACTCTATTCACTTGTAGTTTAAGTATCTATTTCAATGACCAAACGTATTTAGGTATCAATCAAAGCAAAATAGACTTTAAATCGATAAACCGAGAGTTAAAACAAGTTGCAAATTGTTTACACAACCTTACACTTGATACTTGAAATACTGAGAAGTGAAGAATTTTGTCTTGAGTGCGACAATGCAGCCGCATATCACGGCTTGGTCCACACTGATTATATTATAGACTAATCAAAGCAAAATGGACTTTGACTCGTCGAGTTAAAGTCTAATCCCCAATTTGCAATTCCCAAATTCCTGTTGATAAGTGGTCCAGATTGCTTAGCACTAGGTGAATGGTCTGTTGGTTTGCCGTTGTTGGTATAGTATAAAAAATAACTAATATTCATGTACCGTGGCCTTATACTTGACACAGTCGGGGAAGTACTGAGAAGCGGAGAATTTCGTCTTGAGTGCGACTGTGCAGCCAAATATTACTGCTTGGCCGACACTGATCACTCCTCCCGCCGTATGGTAGAGAGGGAGAGGGCAGTAGAACACATCGTTCCCTTCCAAACCCATGTAATGAAGTCCAGTTGCCATAAAGACGAACCTAAAAATAAAAAAAAATAAAAAATGGTGTTATTGAACGAAGATAATATATGCTATAAGACTGCCTCGTTGTCCGAGTGGTCGCAAGTGCGACTGCCGGGCAAGGGGTCTCGGGTTCGATTTCCAGTTAAAAAATTCTCAGTAGTAGCACGGAGTCTGGAATTGTGCCCGGTATATGGCAATGGGCTCAGCCCCTATTAGATGGGACTCATAACATAAATAGTGAAAAGTGGGTGTTACATTGTACAGTGGCATAATGTGCACAGGCGTGATGTTATGTTATGTTATATGATCTAAACTAGCTTCTGCCAGCGGCCAGTGTTCTAGCGGGATAAAAACCCTATGTGTTATTATAGACCTTAATCTACACCTGTTCCAGATTTCATTCCTATGCTTTCAGCCGTTTCGACGTGAAGAAGTTTTGCATTTATAATATTGTTAGGATACTAGCTATTCGACTTCGTTCCCGTGACATGTAATGTAAAGCTTCGAGCAGCGAGTTAAAAAGTAATTAGTTTTATTATTTGCTACTCAAGACTATCAATTTCCATACCGATCCGTCTTAGAAATTTGGGTATTACAAAATGAACAAACATTCACATTTATATCCAAATAGATCAACCAAATAAGTGTTTTTATTTATCAAACAACACCACAATATCAAATATTTGAGGGACCCTCAGTTCAAAACTTATTGTTCCATAAAAATGGTAAACACGTTAATACATCAGTAGGATACAAATACCTTAGCAGGTACTTAGTAAACAGCCACTATTAGTGATAATTTATTCATTGTCCTTAGGTTATCTGGAAGACACGAGGAAGACCGATAACACCAACCTATAGTTATATCGTAAAAACATCGTTATTGCCTTTTGTTCTCTGATTACACAATACACTGAGAGGAGCGCTGTGTTAAGAATTTTAAAGATGAAAAAAAAACTCAATATTACTTTTCCCTATCCCAAGGCACGGCAATAGTATCTACAAAAAAGTCATAAATGTGTAACAGCTGTGATTAAGGGTCCCGATGTGGCACGAAACTAGTTGAGCTTATTTTTAACGTGAGTAAATCGTACAGCTCAATTAAGTTCGTACGTAACAGAACATTATTTAAGAGATATCTCACCTAGCATTAGAAATAACAGCTGCTTTAGGCAATCCAGTAGTTCCAGACGTGTAGATATACAACAGCTTTCCTTGGAACCCATCAGCATCAGCCAGGGTCCAGGGTGCTGGCGATGTGGTCTCCACCAAGTTGGTGAAATCGGCGATACCATCTCCACTACCTTCCGACTTGGAATTGGAAGTCTTCAAAGGACGTTGGGAGAACTTGAATAACTTCAAAGATGGGCTCAAGTCTTTGGCTACATCTTGGATAGCTGTGAAGAAAATAATTGTACTTAGAATAGAATATTATGTTAACAAAAAGTATGGCCTTCGTACTCGTCATTAAATAAGTATTAAGCATTAGAGTAAAATCTTCGTCAAGCCGCGTGCACACATCAATCTCACTGTGAAGTGTAACACCGAGTCGTTTGTGAATTCGGAAGTCCAAAATTTTATTGCAGTTGTTACAAATATCGTATGGTTGCTACGTGCAAGTTTTAAAGGTAATTAATTGTAGCTACAAACCATCATTTCTTAAACGTTATAATTTTTCTAAATGTTGGTTTAATTATGATTTCCTCTTGTGTCATGGGTGTGTGTTTTACAGACACAATCATATGATTATATAAACAATAGTTTATAGACATGACATAACATCACGACTTTTATCCCCGAAGGGTTAGGCACAGGTGCACATTACGGCAATTAATGCCACAGCACAATGTAACAACTACTTTTCACTATTTATGAGTCCCATGTAATAGGGGGTTAGCCTATTGCCATATACCGTGCACAACTCCAGACTCCGAGTTACTACTGAGAATTTTTAAAAAAACCTCAGTAATTAGCCTTGCCAACGAAACAGTCAATGTATAGATTATACAAATAATTGTTCCGTTCGGGGATTAGACGTGCAACACGTTGCGCAACAAACAATCGAATAGTTACTCCTATTCTTGTAGATATTAGAAGTGTGTAAACACCTTTATATCAGCGCCTACGACATGACGTTATTTACTCATAATTCAAACGAGTAATTGTGCGTACCTATTACATAATTATTCAAAAATTTAAGTCAATGTATTCATAATACTAATAAGGTCTCTACGTTAAACCATTAGTGCCGTTAAAGTTATTCTCAACGTTTATTAGTAATTATCTTCAATGTCTATTTAATTGTTGTTTTGTTTAACAAAAGAATACCGGTTTTCAATAGCTTGTTTTAAGTGTCAAAACATTTTTAACTAATTATCATTAAGTATGATTCGAGAAAAAACTATTTATAACAATAGGCAATAATGATTTCGTTTGACCCGAGCGTAGAAGCCACTTTTTAGTCATGACACAGGCAATTATATTTTCCGTACGTTTATGCTTAAATATTCCTATATAACTAAAATTATATATTAATCAGGTTAGATGTCACGGACAGTTAATCTCGTCGTTGTTCTAATTCATATCTTGTCGTTAGACAAATATGGTTCAGTATGCTATAGTTATTTATTAAAGGTAGATATAATATGTTAGTTATATTTTGTTTGCTAAAGATAAAAGAGTTTTGTTATGATAGAACAATCTAATTGGTGTCAACTAACAGTTTAAAGTCCGAATAAAGTATTACATTTACCAATATGTATTTTTTAATGATTATATTAGCCTGTGTACTTACGTAGGTATATATATAGCTAATAGTTACATAATTAGGTATTGTTTTTAAATCATTTTGTGATACATGTTTCCATAGTTTTGTGTGGGAGAGCCATGCTTCAGCAGGAATGGGCCGGCTCGACCGGAGTGATGCTCACAGAAAACCTACACACACACCCACCGAAAGCTTTGTTTCATGCTTGAGGTGTGTTTCGCCGTGTAAGTGAATGCCCAACATTCCTCAAATTCATCCGTAAAAGGCCGGTAACGCACTTGTAACACCTCTGGTATTCTGAGTATCCATGGGCGACATCGATTACTTACTGGTGATTCGTATGCTCGTTTACCAAAAAAAAAATTAATAACCACACATCTAGTCTGATTGAGGAAACCTAACAAACATTAACAAAATCCTTCAAAAATCTCTTTTTTGTTTTGTTTCTGGTTTTATAAAAATAATAATGTTAAAGTTTTTTCCGCGTCAAGAAACTTAAACAAACTCTTTATTCTAAGATCTTCGTATCAACTTTACGTATTATTTGAACAAGAGTATTTATGTATCCTCAGATACTTTTTATTCTTATAAATTCAAGTACCTATATATTATGTCAACAACGAAATTAACTTTTTTCTTCGCTTAAACTACTGCACCATTCTTGATAAAACATCTAACAGCGATAGTTAACCGTGATAAGACTGAATCTAGATGAAGATAGTTCATTTTATAGAAAGTCATTTGTAACATGATATGTACTTGTAATAAAGAGTTTTTACATATACTACAAGAGCTGGCAATTTGTGTCTTGACAAAAACAAAAGATCACTTTCACTCAACATTATTTTATCATAATGAGTAATTGACGTCAAAGATCATTCCGGAAAACTCGCGCCTTAAAGCGCGACGTTTTACGCCGGTTATCATAAGGTTCAATGTTCAAAAAACCTGTTTTAATACATCAAGTGTCTTACCTGATTGGTATTCGTCGGAGAATATTAGTGCGTCACATTTAGCTACGTTCACTGAATGGATTAAGGCATTCCCTCTTTGGTTGGTGTTGATAAGAGGTGTGATGGCTCCTAGTCTAGCTATTCCCATCCATAGAGCCGGCTGTTGTGGGCAGTTGTTCACCAATAGTCCTACAATGCTTCCTTTCTTTATGCCTTGAGCTTTAAGTACGGCTGTGACTCGTAAACTGTAGTCTTCTACCTGAAATTAGAATGTTAATATATTATATTGTATAGATTCTAAGTCTAATCTAGACTAATACAAGGGTGATATATAAAGGATATGAGAAAAGGTTTATCTGTATTGTGTGTAGAGATAAAAATATTTTGTAACATAAGGTTACATAATTTATTTAGATGAGAAGGTAAACATATATATTTTATTTTAATTGCTTAACTGTCAAACACCAAGCGGTCACCGGTGACCGCAACCTATTGTTCTATAATTGTGTCTATAATGACAGTACTCGACGAGTTAAATCAGCAAATACCACTGACTCTAAGTTTTTTGTTTCTTGTTCCTGGACAGGAAAACGGAATGACTAATATCAAATCAACTTAAAAGAAATTAGACCAATGACTGCAAGATTTTAAAATAAGTCATGAAAGTAGGTTACTGTTGACCAAATTGTCCTTTAACGTCTATGCTGAACTTATTTACATAGATGGAGACAATACTTCATTACCGGATTCACTAAATTCAGTCGAATAAATTAAATACTTTTGTGTGAACAAAACTTCAATGGTTATAACGTTAATTGCTGTATTCTTTGTTTGAATGCACTAATGTGAGAGCAAGACCAAATTAGGATATTTCATTTCCAATCTATTTAATTAATACAATAGACATGATTGCTAGTCTATGATTGCTACATCATAATCATAATGTATTATAAAGAGGGCAGATTAAGTTATTTGTTTACATTCTAGATGATAAAATAATTCGCTATATAAAAACTTGATCTCCAGATCGTAAAATAAGTTACTAATCTCGATATTTATTACAGGATAGAATGCTTCTTGACAGAAAATTGTCAATTTCTTTCGTGAAGAAGCCATAAGACAAAAACTATTTAATTTTAATGGTGTTTAGTTCAGTTGTTGTAAAATGTATAGTTCAGTTGCTATGAGATCTAAGGTTTAGTGTTATTACTTCTAGCCTATTAGGATGTATAACATGTACTTTAAAAACTTTTTAGTACGCACATAACATTAATAATTTTAATCTGCAAAACTTGATGTACTAAAACATCAATTTGGATTCAAAATGATTATATTTGTAACATTTTATAGTTATATTATCTCCGTAATATTTATAAAAACTAAATTGAATATCATTAATTATAATTGAGAAACTGGACAGACAGGGTAATTACTAATTAGATATTTAGTAATACTGAATATTAATTAAACAAATGATACCAGACAGATATGTACTTACTATGTATGAAAGATACTCTTACAATAAGTAAAAACATAAAACTTTCTCTTTTACAATAGCTAAGTAATCAACTTCAATTTGCTTTCTACTACTTTCTTCGTAATTTTTATACTATTTTCTATATTTAATAAGTTTAATGCATGCATAGACAATACCCATGATAGACCACAAAGGTTTCTACTGTGATGTAATATGTCCTGTGGGCATACAGTCTGTGAATTCGTAATGATGATTAAAATAAATACTTTGAAGAATTTGTGTACAAAAAGTAGTAACTTTTTATGTTTTTATATTATCTTTATTTTGTGTAATTTATTTTTAAATGATTACATACCTCTTTGAAAGTCCAGACTTCATCTTGGAACAAGAAACATGGTTTGTCTGGATGTCTACTGACAATGTCATGGAATATATCCGGCAAAGTCAAATCCTTGCTACTAAACTTCCTTGTTATCCATAAGATCTTTATGTATGACAATAGAGCCCTAAAATAATAAACAAATTGATGTTATAACACACACTGACACCATTATGTTGACTTACAAACTTTATAGTTTATTTTTTTTTATTCACTGCTCTTACTACAATTTTTTGAATGAAAACTAGACTTCACTGGGAAAATTAACATACTTTAGGTAATATTTAACGTTTTTAATAAATGCGTAGCGATGACGTGCCAGTTCAGAACCCTTACCTGAGATCTCTTGGAGTAGTTTTGATAGCGACGTAACACCAGCGTTGGTGGAATGCGAGAAGGTAAACAATACCAAGTATTATAATAGACACCAACATACAAAGGAATCCTTGGGTGAACAAAACGGCGGCACAGGCGGCCCCGAGCGCAGCGAGTACGAGCACCATCGCGACCACTTTTCGCAACGTAACGCGTCTTACTGCTGATCGGCGACCCACCGTGACTGTCTGTCTGTTGCGCGCTGTGCGAACGATGACTAGTTATGTTTAATTCATTCACTCGCACTATTAGCGAGACCACTCAAAATGACTTACTGATAACAAACAATAACACTTTATTGCTAACACACACACGCTCTCGGTGATACCAAAAAATTACAGGGACCTGGTAAACAAGTTTCAACCCAGTTAAACAATCCCAAAATGTATTCATTCAAAATTAACAAATAAAAAATACTAAATTTTAATATCGTTGGTCATGCAAGCCAATGATCCACCGACATTCAGTAACTGTATTAAATTTACATGCTAATGAGGGCACACTATTATAATCCGAATAATGTTAATTAGGACAATACGCAATGTACAACAAACTAAGTCATTGGATCGTAATTTGACGTTAGCTGTTTTATGACGTCAGTGTCACTGTCACTTATGAAGTGATCAATAAATGTTGACAGTTACGTTTTGTTTTTTCTAGTGCAAATGCCTTGGTTGTTGTTTTCAAAACTGCGTAAACTGGTAATTGTTTAGCAATAAAACAAATAATACAAGTTGAATGTTTTTATTACTTAAATAAAGAAACCATTTGTCCGTCTAAAAATAAACATAAAGATGTAGTCACTTAAATTACATTACACATTTTTGTTTAACAAAAACATATTTATCATAATTAATTTACAAAATTAGATTAGGTACACTACCCTAATAATTTAATTGTTGTATGAAATAATTAACTAATTTGAAATAGTTTGTTGTAATTTTAACTGATTTTCATATGTGATTTTCTTCTGCATATTGCGTATCACCGACTAGCGGTAGCATAACTCCCAAAGAAGTAACAACAATAATACCTGCTTATTGTGTCACAATAAAATTATAAGTATAACTTAACTGATTATAATAATTACATATGCTAGGTCCTTATAAAATAGCAAGAATTACAAGGCAGGTAGGACATTTTTATTTACATGAAATCAACCTTTTAACTTCCCATACATTCATTCTTCTCAATTTTAATTAACTATTGATATGATTTTGATAGTACAAAAATTACGTAAAAAATAAACACGTATATGTCACGTTCTTCAACATAAAATGTTGAAGGAATCAATTTAAAAAAGTCTAAGTATTTTCCTAAAAAATATTTCTACCTATCTAGAACTTGCACTTCACAGTATCACATCCTTATTGTATAAGTTTTTTTTTTAAATAAAGGCACAATAATATCTTCGTTATGAGTTTGTAAATGTTTATAAAATTAAAATCACAGTCTAATTTGTCCTGACATAATTTTTTCATATTCTTCGTTTCCAAGAGGTACATATTTGCCCGTCTTGGGGTCTGCGTAATATAGTTTGTCTTTTACTAGCGAAGGGTTGTAGCCCTCTTTCTGCAAGTCAACTTTCCTCATCTTGAAAGTTCCTGTGAACAAAATAATAATTAATATTATTATCTCTTAATTTAAAACTCATTAACCATTCATCACTCGATCAAAAAGTTGCTCTAAAGAAATTGTGATTCATTACTCCATTATGGAAATTATAATATATTGTTAATAAAATGCCTCGTTAGCCGAGTGGTCGCAAGTGTGACTGCCGGGCAAGGGGTCTCGGGTTCGATTCCCGGGTCGGGCAAAGTATTTCTAGGTTTAAAAAATCTCAGTAGTAGCACGGAGTCTGGAATTGTGCCTGGTATATGGCAATAGGCTCACCCCCTATTACATGGGACCCATAACATGAATAGTGAAAAGTGGGTGTTACATTGTACAGTGGCATAATGTGCACCTCTGAGAACCTAACGGGTAACCGGGGCTCCGGCTCGACGTGTAGGAGAAGGAACGGGGTGGTTTTTAGTCAGTAAGAGTCTGACACTCCCTCCCGAGGCGGGAGCAGTCATTCGATGATTTTCCCCCCTTAAAAAAAAACCCCATGGGGGATAAAAGGCGTGATGTTATGTATGTTATGTTATAAAATAATAATAGTCACGTCTAAATACCCAAAAGATATAGAAATCAACAACCAAAGTACCTAACACAACACTTACCCGTCATATCAACGCTAGCCATGATCCTTATGAATATAGGTCTCGCGTATTTCGGTAAGTCTTTAGCAATGTCTTTCGCCAGCTTGTCCAGGTCTAGTGTCTCTTGAGGATCGACTATGCCGCACATACCAGCGCGACCGTCTGTGTTGGGGATCTGTGGAAAACCGAAGAATTTTAGGCAAAGAAACTACGTAAGGTAATTGTAGCTACCTATATCCCTAGGTTCCAAAAAGCTAGGTCGATCTAAGTAGGCTTGGTGACCGTTCCTGACAGGCTACCTACTGTCCAGCAGGTATTAAATACGCTACTTAGGAATTGAAAACAAATTCAAATTCTTTATTGCACATTTCATTGCTTTGAGTTTTTAGACAATTCTGAAATAACACACACCTCAACTCCGTAAACCACAGCATCTCTCTGATCTGCCACCCTGGAGATGGCCGATTCCACCTCAGTTGTGGAGACGTTCTCTCCTCGCCACCGGAACGTGTCTCCTGTACGGTCCATGAAGTACAGGTAGCCGAGCTCATCAGCCGTCAAGATGTCACCTGGAAAGATGTGGATATCATTGATTTTTCAAACTCTAAAGTGGAAGAAATTATTTTTAATTCTCTAGTCAGATCAGAAGAAAAAGAAGAAAGGGGTTCCCGGTTTAGTGGTACCCATTAATTATACAATACCATTTGTTAATGTCATTTTGAACTTAAGGTGTAATTAGTTGCTATTGTAGTAACAAATTTACACGATGATAGATGGTGAAGAAAGATTTTAAAAAATCTAGGTAGGTAATCAAGTAATCAAGTAATCAAATATTTATTGCAGGTACAGTGTACACACCTGAAATGAACGCTGAATCTCCATAATCAAAAACGTCTCTAACAATCTTCTTGTCTGAAGCAGCCTTGTCCACGTAACCGAGGAACGCTCTTGAAGGATTATTTGGCTTAATTTTTCCTATGAAGACACCTGGCTCGTTAGGTTTCGCCAACTGCAACCAAAGAGTTATTTGAAGAATCTCTTACCAACTTCATAGAACCTCATCCATCACCAACGTCCCGTGACATTTCATTACTGACCATGGATTATCTCTACATATAAGAGCCATAATGTTTACGCTTAGCAGGCAGAGATCACAAGCATTCTTCTTTGTCCTCTCCAAAACATTCCAACATGAAGGGATCTCGAAATGTTGACTTTTAATAAAATTACTCACCTGACACAATCCTCTATCGTCTCTGATGGGCTCTCCGCTATCAGGGTCCACTTTGAGAATAGCGATAGGATACACTGCTGGGATTATTCTAGATACAAAACCGATAGCTCCCGTTTTGTTGTTAATGTTCACTGAAATTAAAATATCAAATTTATTAGGCCTACATTTTTTAAACGAAGGTATTTCTAAACTGAACCTAGATTTTTTCTTACCGATATTCGCGTTGCCCTCAGTAGCTCCATAAAATTCAACTACCTTCTTTATGTTGAAACGTTTGACGAAGTCTGTCCATATCTGAAAGAAATCAATATGCTGTAAGAACCTTCATAATCTTAAAATAAAAAAAAACTTTTGATGTACCACAAGGCACTATCTACTTGTGTGTGGCATAAGAAAAAAATCAAAATCAAGGTAGGTAAGGTATGTTTTCGAATTTACGAGTAGCAGAGCCCTACGGTACTTATGACACCTAGTTTCTAAGTTCAATGACTTTTGCAAGAAAACCACAAACTCACCGCTGGCCTCATTCCGTTGCCGTAAACAGTTCTAACTTTGTGTTGCGTGTCCGTAGGGGAAGGCGGTGTCGTCAGCACGTAGCGACACATCTCACCGATGTAGTGGGCGGCCTGGTGATTAAAAATCCATTAGACAAAGAAAACCTCTAAAACTACATTACACGCGGGCATCGCAATCTACAAACGCAATAAGTAAAAAACGTAGGCCTATTATTTGTTAATGTAGCAATCATTACAAATAGTTTCGATAAAGTGAAAATCTGCACAGGCCTTCAAATCAGTTGCATCTAGAAAAATAGCGTTTAATCGATTGCCATCATTTTTATTCTCAGATTTAAACTGTCAAGCTTCAAAAAAAGAACTTTAGATTTATTATGTTACAAATCGGCGGCAAGGCTTTCGAAAAAACAGCGATATGCTCTCCGATAAGCCAAAGCTCAAATCAAACATCACGTTACACACTTTCACTTCAACTACAGAGCAATTCGTTTTTAACGATCAGCCAGCATCCGCGCATAAAGTTTTGATTTCTCTGCATCACTTCGCTCACAATGTAGCACATAAGTGCATCGTGAACTTTCTCCAAGCTTTCACTTACCGTGGCATTGTATTTGATGCAGTCTGGGAAGTATCTGGATGCTGAGAACTTGGTTCGGAGCGCTACAGTACATCCGAATATGAAGGCTTGGCCCATCGTGATGCAACCACCAGCTGAGTGGTATAAAGGCATGGGGCAGTAGATGACGTCACTCTTTCGCAAGCTTCCTAAATAGTGGACACCTGATGCCATGAACACCATACTGAAAAAAATAAATATTTTTATTTTTTTAATGATAGGTAATCGCATTGAGAAATTGTTACTATTTTATAATTACTTGAGATGTCATGATGCAAACAAAAATTGACCTCGTATGTTTGTCTCAACGTGTAGTAATGTACTAATTTAGTATGACTTGCGCAAGCAATTAGCGCCTTCGGAGGAATCTTACCGTGAAGATGATATAACGGCTGCTTTTGGAAGTCCAGTGGTTCCTGAAGTGTAGATGTAGAGGAGTTTTCCATTGAACCCGTCGCTGTCGGATGGAGTCCAGGGGAATGGGGCAGTGTTCTCCAACATGGATGTGAAGTCATCATCGGATTCCACAACCTTAACGGCATCAGGAGCAGTATTGAGTGGCCGGCGGACGAACTTGAACAATTTTAGAGAAGGGCTCAGCTCCTTCGATATGTCCTGGAATGCTGAAGTAAAAAAAATAATTTAGAAAATCTTTCCTTGTAGTCAAGACAAATATAAGACAAATGATCCCAGTAATATAGAAGGTAAATTGTAGAGCAGGTATACTGTACGTCTAGACATTACAATAAACAATTTAACTGATACCTGTTTCTATAAGGCTGATTTATTTATATTCCCACAAACCTTTTTTACTATTCATGTCACAATAAATAATGATAATGTACGGTTAGCAGATGTCTATCCAAAACCAGTTCTTTAGTGGCACATATTAATGTTAAGTTAGACGAACCTGTTTGGAACTCGTCACTGTAGATGACCACGTCACACTTGGCGATGGTGATGGAATGCAGAAGGGTGTTGCCCGTCTGATTGGTGTTGATTAGGGGGCAAACAGCACCCAGTCTCGTGGCTCCTAACCAGATGGATGGCATCTCTGGGCAGTTCCCAATCATAACTGCTACGGTGTCTCCGCGCTTCACACCTTTGCCTTTTAAAACTGCTGATACTCTTAAGCTGTATTCTTCCACCTGGAAAAGGGAAAAATTTAACATCAGAACTTTGTACAAGTGATTGTATACTTATTAGGCAACTATATTGTAGTTAAAATTTAAGTTTATTCAGAAGGAGTAGGAAACTGGTTCATGTAGATCCATTATCTAGATTCTTTAGTTTCTGGTAATAAGTTAATCGATTTATGTATGCGTAGAGACTCATTAAAAATCCTACTTGAAAAACATAATAGACGCATTACTCGCCCCTACAGTTTTCAAAAGTTCCCCGGGGTTTCCCTAGGATTCCATCATCGGATCCTGAACTCATGGAAATGGGACCATCCCGGCAATACACCCTTTCAAACAAAACAATAATTTTGGAAATCGGTTCACAAATGACGGAGTGATCGAACAAACAAGAAAAAACAATCAGCCGAACATAGTACCTCCTCCTTTTTTCGAAGTCGGTAAAAATGGTCACATTGAAAGAGTGACTTCAATATTTAACTAGATATACTTTTAAAAGTTATTTTATTTCTCGTTTGTGTTAGTTCAATGTTGTTAGTCCATAACCTGTTGTTCCCATTCGGATTGAGGTTAAAATGAAAGTAGCAAGCTGCATTATTTTAAAAACTTTTGCTATACATATTGCTTTCCGGAGGAAATTATTAATGTCAAGGAAACGGAAATTACTTAACATTAGTGTTATTGATATGTAAACATTAAAATATACTTAGTGATTTTAATCATAACATAACATCACATCTTTTATCCCCGAAGGAGTAGACAGAGGTGCACACTACGGCAATTAATGCCACTGTACAATGTAACACCCACTTTTCACTACTTATAAGTCCCATGTAATAGGGGATGAGCCTATTGCTATATACCGGGCACATTTCCAGACTCTCTAATACTACTGAGAATTTCTTAAAAAACCCAATAATACTTTGCCTGACCCGGGTATCCAACCCGAGACCACTTGGCCGGCAGTCACACTTGCGACCACTCGGCCAACGAGGCAGTATTGACCATTAATTAGGTCACAATCAATACATAGTATAAAACAAAGTCCCTTTCGCTGTATGTCCGTATGTATGCTTAGATCTTTAAAACTACGCAACGGATTTTGATGCGGTTTTTTTTAATAGATAGAGTGATTCTTAAGGAAGGTTTGTATGTATAATACATGCATATTGCACCCGTGCGAAGCCGGGGCGGGTCGCTAGTGATCTATAAATTACGGTGTCACAAATTATTATGACACCATAAAACAGAAGATAGAAAACTAGTACAAACAGTACAACAGGTCGGGTCAATGTATAGGTTACATATTATCATGCTATCAATTACGGGAGAGGAGCTGTGAATCACAATTCCACGGGGACGAAGTCGCGGGCTCAGCTATTGAAAAATATAAATTCTTAAATTAAAACACACTATTGGCTTATTACACTTTAAACAAATACAGACACGTTTGCACTTAAATAAAATTCAGTTGTAAAAATAACGGGATTGTTAATTAAACATTAAATATTTAATTTTCTTATTTAATTCATGGTAGCGTATGAGAGTGATTGGTCTTGGGTTCGATTTCCGGGTCGGATAAAAGATAATATTTGGTCTAAAAGTGTGCATAGTATAGGTCCGTCCCCGATAATGCCCGTTAACTTTTAAGTAACTCACATAACATACATGGGAGCAATGGTAGCATAAGAAGCTACATACATAACATCACGCCTTTTATTCCCGAAGGGGTAGGCAGAGGTGCACATTAGTCTGCAGTTAATGCCACTGTACAATGTACCACCCAAATTCACTAATTTTGTTACAAGTCCCATGTAATAGGGGGTGATCCTATTGCTATATACCGGGCACAATTTCAGACTCCGTGTTACTACTGAGAATACATACATAAGAAGCTAAGAGAAGGTAATACCCGTTTTAATAAAACTCTCTTAACTCGTCGAGTACCGGTTTTGTAGACACAATTATAGAACAATAGGTTGCGGTCACCGGTGACCGCTTGGTGTTTGACAGTTTAAATTTTAGAGAACCCCTAAGGCGGAGCTAGGTGACACTTGGTGTTTTTGTTTTTACAAATCAATAAGTGATACCTAAAGATATACCTACCTAAAGGGTAACTCTAAGGTTAGTTTTGTTATCTTAAAATAAACGTTGTAAGTATCCACACTAAGATTTTCTCCTGTGTCGTGGGTACGTTTACAAACATACAATATAATATAACATACACATTTCAGACTCAGAGATGATTTATTTTATAAACATGAACCTATTAAGTCACCTATATGTATTTTTTTAAGGGGGAAATATCATCGAATGACATCACCTACCTGGGTGAGGTGGAAGGGACTGTCAGAATCTTACTAAAAACCACCCCGTTCCTATTCCTGCACTTCAAGCCGGAGCCCCGGTAACCCGTTAAATCTCCGCAGCTCAATTCTATATGTATATTGTTTAGATATGTATTATATCTTAACACAACTGTCGCAGTAACAACAAACAGATAGAATAGACATTACTTAACTGTTACAACATGAATGTTAACTTCCTGTGGACGGTTATGTCAGTCTGTAACTACATATTACATACATTATATTGACATCGTTACGGTTTCTTCTTTCAATAAGTGAATAGGCCAGTCCCAGGGGCGTAGCTAGCGCCGTATCTGCCGTATATGGCCCCCCCAACGTGTGTAAGCAAAAATATAAAAACTTTTCACTTCATATTTTATGTCAGTAGGTAATAACAAAATGCATGCGTTCAAAGGTTGGCAGAAACCATGGAATACAGAAATCTATTCCATGGCAGTAACTTTAGAAAAACTAAAGTCCGATAATATGGGTAGAGAAGGTATTTTTGTAAAAAATCTCTTATCAGAAACTTTTACCTTTCGTAAGGGCCCCCAAACAATACAATTTTTATACGGGGCCCCGCCATAGTACGCTACGCTAGTGGCTAGTCCATAGTAGGTACAACGATTGTTCTTTTGCTTACTACAGTTGTTAAAAGAGGTGGTCCCTTTGTTACTACTTCAATTCTAGCCTCTGCCAGGGCTTCGCCTGTTCCCGTGGGATGTGGGATAAAAAGTGTTATTCCAGATCATAAGCTATCCTTGTTCAAATTAGAAAATGTAATTAACAAACATGTTATTCATCATCATCATCAACAGCCTATAAATGCCCACTGCTGAGCAAAGCCTCTTCTCACGCGGAGGTTTGAGCATTAATCACCACGCTTGCTCAATGCGGGTTGGCGATTACAAACTTATAATTAAAATTATAAGCCCAGGTTTCCTCACGATGTTTCCCTTCACCGTTTGTCAGTGGTATCTGAATAATCTTAGAAAGTACATATAACTCGGAAAAAGTCATATTGGTACTTGCCGTTGGTAGGTTTCGAACTCGCACCCTCATGCATGAGAAGCGGGCGTCTTAAACCTCCGGCCCACTTTTAATTAAAAAAAATCGTCAATGTAGGTCCTCTTACGGCCAGATTCAATCACCATATCTTCTTCCTATCGATATATTTGGCTACCTATAAAAGACAGAATTAAAAAAAATGCTCCATTCATAACGTCAAAATTCTGTCTCTAGCCGGCAAAATTACCGTCTGTGAAATATTGTTGCCAAAAAAAATCAGCACACTATAACCGCGCTTGGAGGACTTTGGAATCGTGATCATCAATTGTTTTTATAAGAAGCACATTGTCCTTGTCCGCCACGACACAGAAATTAACATAATTAGTAAGATCTTTGTATATAATTTTTGTATAATATTGTATTTATAATATTTACCTGCTGGAATGTCCATGTTTCATCCTCAAATAGGAAGCACGCCTTGTTTGGATGTTTGACGACCAGCTGGTGGAAGATGTCGGGCATGGACCAGTTCTTCTTCGTGAAGTTCTTAGTCAGCCTAAGAATTTTGATGTAGCAGTATAGTGCACTGGAAGAAGAAGGTAGTTTTGTTAATTAATTTGTATTTGTTATTGTAGCAAAGGCGCTCAGAGGGCTCAGGTAATTGACTTAAAAGACATCAGAATTTTAAGCACAAATAAGAACAATTGACATAATGCATCTTTATAAGTACGGTTCACACATTCAAAGTAGGTATCAAAGTGCTTTTTGTTTGACTGTATTTTTAATCGTCTTTTAAAACCATTTAGACAAAAAATATCACAAAAAATTTGTCGGTAATAAAAAAATAAATAAATAACTTACGAGAAATCTCTGGGAGCAGTTCTGATGGCCACATAGATCCACCTCCAGTAGAAGGCTATGCAGTAGACTAATGCCAGGATAGCCAACACTAATAGACTCGCCTTCCAATCCTGGAAGACCCAGGCTACTGCACAGGCGCCGGCCAGCACACCGAGCGCAAACATCGCTATAATCGCCTTTGTCCAAGGGATTTTAGAACCAGCCTTCACAACCGTCCCCTTTTCTATGTCAGCGTTGCCGTTTTTTAACTAAAAATAAAAGAATAATTATTTGAACAGGACCTATTCACTTGAACGTTGGATACAAACTCGATAATATATCGGATAAACAAAATTCTGACTGTTCGTGTTCCAATGCTAATAAAGATAAGATTGTGAAGTTATCTGCGGATTATTCGAGTGGACTTTGCTAGATTTTAATATGTAGTCTACTAGGTATAGTCTATTTTTATGGTAACAAGATGAAGTGTTTTGATTATTTTAATAGATCTATTGTTTAACTCGTCGAGTACCGGTTTTGTAGACACAATTATAGAACAATAGGTTGCGGTCACCGGTGACCGCTTGGTGTTTGACAGTTTAATAGATGTTTAATAGTAGTATGTACTCTACACACAAAAATAGTAGATAGAATTAATTCAACGGATGTTAAGTGTTTTCACATATTTTTATTTCTAAAATTACGTGTAGGTGTAATCTATATATCTGGTATAATCCATGGGTACCTATAATCTGTCTATCCAGTGAACAGATATAATCACAGACCAACTTTTACCGGTTTTGCATTACTTGATGCGTAGGTAGTCGTGTCAGTAGTAACTGAGCTGTGCAGTGTCATTAAATATATACTTTTATACTTGAACTTTGAAACTAAATGAACGATAACGAGTATCATAAGCATTCATTGTTCTAAACGATAGTATGACTACCTACATTATGAATAATATTCCTAAATAATTATGGAATTCTGAAATAGGTAGGTAAAATTACCACCGAACTGCCAAATGTGTAAAAGTTTGTATCTATAACTTCGATCATAAAAACTATGAAGCATTAGCTCGAAACATTTTTGCGACACAAATAGAAACATTACGTGAACAAGAAACATTTTTAGTTTGACATAGTAGGTAGGTACAAACAATACAAGAAAAAAATACCGCCAAATTATGTTAATATTTATGTTACCTGTGATGTTTGTCTCACAAAAATATTAGCATAAAGTCTTATAACTATACTTATTTTGTTTATTTTCAACTTCATACAATAAGTGTGTACAGGTGGACTTAATGCCTTGGGCATTGTCTCTCAGTCAACCTTTAACTAAGCAGTGCAGAGATGAAAGTAGCAGGTGATTTAATCTGTCAAACACCGCGAGGACACCGATGACCGTAACCTATTGTTCTTTAAACTGTCAAACACCAAGCGGTCACCGGTGACCTCAACCTATTGTTCTATAATTGTGTCTATAATGACGGTACTCAAAGAAAACCTTTATAAATAGGCAATGTATCAGTATAATAAATAATAAATCTCACAATCATAATATTCAATAAACACTATTATAGGTATATTTGAAAACTTATACTCACTTACATATAACAATAATGTAACTTGTACATGACTTATTTCCAAGTTACAAGACGAAATAAACTAAACTTAACTAACTTGGTTGCAGGTTCAGGCCATGGAATTCAGTAACTTTTGTTTTAGAGAAGGTGAAGTAAAATAAACATCGAACCTTATTGTATTATAGGTTCAAAGAATAAAATTGAACAACATTCTCACACGTCCCGTTAATTCCCATGAAAAATGTGAATTGTCTCTTTGAATTTCCAAAAAGTATCGCGAAGTTTCATGACCCGAACTCACACTTGCAAGATTCTCGATTTACATAATAATCATATTTACCCACCACAAATTTGGTTTAAATTTATTAGAGGTACTAAACACACAATTCCCACCTTATCAAAGCAAGTCTATTTGCGCACTGACGTTGGATTCTAGAAAAATGTACATATGTATTAATATGTAACTTCACATATGAATATGTAGGTACCTAGGTATGCCAGGTATACCTAGGTAAAGACTAGATTGTCCGTGACACCAGCTCGTATACATCGTAACTAATTAATAAACGTTTAATATTTAATATCGATTTCTTGGTATTTATTAACATTAGTTAGTTATTTCATAATGAAACTTCCTCGTTGGTCTAGTAGTCGCAAGAACAACTATTGAGCAAGTAATTTTGGGTTCGATTCCCGGGTCAGATATTGAGTCTTTCCAAGTATGAAGTTTAAAATTGTCCTAGTGGTACACGTACTTATTAAATAATTTGAAAATAAAGTTGCTATGTAATTCAATTATATGAAATTGTTAGGTTAAACTTGAGGTTATTTTATAATAACTATCGTGAGACATACTGAATTAACTAAAAATTAGAGAGGTGGTATCACTGCGACCGGAGTGATACAACGGCCTCACAGAAAACCGACGTGAAACAACGCTTGCGTTATGTTTCGTCGTATGAGTGAGATTACCGGAGGCCCAATTACACCCCCTCCTCAGTCTCCCCAATTCCTTGAATCCTCCACAATCCTCAAATTCCCAATTCCCAAAAGGCCGGTAACACACTTGTAACGCCTTGGTGTTTCAGGTGTCCCTGAGCAACGCCGATTGCTTACCATCAGGTGAACCGTCTGCTCGTTTACCGGCTTATGCCATAAAAAAGTATTCCAGATTGCATTAACATACTTACACAACACCTTAACTCGTCGAGTACCGGTTTTGTAGACACAATTATAGAACAATAGGTTGCGGTCACCGGTGACCGCTTGGCGTTTGACAGTCTATATTCATATATAATGTGTCAACTAGTATATAAGCAGCTATGTACTTGTCTATTGTCCTCTATGTACTATTGAGAATAACAATGTTAGGCCAAAGTTTGTATCTACGGTTATTCATAATATGAATTTCAAGTAAATATACGTACTATTAAATAATGTCATTACAATTGTGTTCGAGTAATGAATTAGTTAATATTACATGTTTAATTATGAATTACATGAAATAGAATAATAATGCTTAATTAGTTACATTGCATAAGTGTATTTATAATAACCTAGTATGTATTAATTGGCCTCATTGGCCGAGTGGTCGCAACTGCGACTGCGGGGCAAGGGGTATCGGGTTCAATTCTCGGGTCGGGCAAAGTATTACTGGGTTTTTTTTAATTCTCAGTATTAGCACGGAGTGGCACGGAGTATGGGACTGTGCCTGGTATATGGCAATAGGCTCACCCCCTATTACATGGGACTCATAACGTAAATAGTGAAAAGTGGGTGTTACATTGTACAGTGCTATAATGTGCACTTCTGCCTACCCCTTCGAGGATGAAAGGCGTGAGTTATGTTATTGTAATTGTCAGTTTGTACTTATATTAAACGTTGTGTGCCAAAAACGGTCACAATATCTAATTCCGAGCTACTATACTGAAAAAGGCTTGGTAAAGCCTTAATTATAATTCTATATTTATTTGATACATGTGTGATAATAAACATCACGCCTTTTATCCCTGAAGGGGTAGGCACAGGTGAACATTATGGCACTGCCACTGTACAATGTCATTGTAACACCCACTTTTCACTATTTATGTTATGAGTCCCATGTATATAGGGTGTGAACCTATTGTCATATACCGGGCACAATTCCAGACTCCGTTCGACTATTGAGAATTTTTTAAAAACCCAGTAATCCTTTGCACGACCCGGGAATCGAACCCGAACCCGATACCCCTTGCCCGGCAGTCGTACTTGTGACCAGTCGGCCAACGAGGCAATCATGTATGATTCGTTACAAAGATATCTAGACTTGATATCTAGCAACTACTGAAGAGAGTGTTTTCTTCACTCAACAAGTTGATACAAAAGGCGATCAAATTAATTAAAGAGATGAAAGTATGATAAGGTGAATAGAACACCTGCACCGCCATATGCACAAAAATTCTCACATATAACTCTTGAAACAATAGGAACTATGGAGGTGCAATATTAATTTTAAATGAACAAAACAGTGGTTAATTAGATTCAATTGTTATTATGGGAACTAGAGAGTTAAGGAGATTTTTAATTTAACCCCTTGAATGTACCGATATGAGGTACAGTTACAGTAGAAAATACATTGTTTCTCGCTTGGATCCACATTTAGACATACGACGGGTTAAACAGTATTTCCCAGAAGCAGTACATGGAAATGCAGTACCCATGTGCCCGATATTTTTATCACCTGATGGTAAGCAATCGGCACCGCCCATAGCCACCCGAAACGGTGTTACAAGTGCGTTAACGGCCTTTTGGGGAATTCGAGGATTTTTTGGGGATTCGGGGATATTACTGTAGTGGCTAATTTTCGTTGTAACTATGTTAACCAAAAAGTAAACGTAATAGGATGTAATAGGATGAGCCGAGAGTTTCAGAATATCGAAGTAGCCTCATACTTTATCATACTTTAAATGCGACCTTAATACTAGCGCAGCAGTCGAAATATAGACCTTGATATTCTTGACCACCAAACTAGTGGTAAAATGAAATCGAAAAGTCTATAGTAAATATTTACTAAAAAGTCTATAGTAAATATTTACTACTTTTCGATACGAATTACAATTTCGATACATATGTATATAATATGTTTTTAGTATTTCTGTGATGTGCGACCAAGGCTGGGCAAGGGGTCTCGGGTTCGATTCCCGGGTCAGACAAAGTATGTATTACAGGGTTTTTAAAAAAAATCTCAGTAGCACTGAGTCTGGAATTGTGCCCGTTATATGGCAATAGGCTCACCACGTAATACATGGGACTCATAACATAAATAGTGAAAAGTGAGTGTTACATTGTACAGTGGCATAATGTGCGCCTCTCCCTACCCCTTCGAGGATAAAGGCGTGATGTTATGTAATTCTGTGATAGCATATTTACAGATATTTAAGTATTACTAATGTATGTAAGTTGTTTATCACTTTTATACGTTTCTAGCTTGGTTCCTGTGCATAGGTAGGTAAGTATTTTTTACTAGTCGACCAAATTATCACGACCTTCAAAGAACTGGATTATGACCTGCACATTGGCATCTCGTGACCAGAAAAAAACCTGTAATAGATGTAGGTAAGCTCGTAAGCTCTGTCAAATACTAAATATATACTAAAAAAAGGAAAAAGAGTCTAAAGTGCAACAAGTGTCTTATATATTACCGGTTGTAGCGCAACAGCTGTCATTTTTTTCTTAAACTTATTTTTTGCATTCTTCAAAGTAACTTGTTTGTTGAAACAAATAGAAAAATAACATAACATAACATAACATCACGCCTTTTATCCCCGAAGGGATAGGTAGAGGTGTACACAGAAGTAACACTCACTTTTCACTATTTATGTTATGAGTCCCATGTAATAGGGGGTGAGCCTATTCCCATATACCGGGCACATTTTCAGACTCCGTGCTACTACTGAGATTTTTTTTAAAACCCAGTTATACTTTGCCCGACCTAGGAATCGAATCCCATCCGAGACCCTACGCGCCGGGCAAGCGGTCTCGAATTCGATTACTAGTCGCACTTGCGACCACTCAGCCAACGAGGCAGTCATACGCCTAACGCCAGCCTCCTAGATGGATGTCGAGGTTTTTAGGAATTAACCCATTGGCCGACACGACTATTGCCTCGGCGCAATGTAGTCGAATCCACACTGGACAACCTCATAGAAAAGTCTAGATATTTTATTATTATTATCAATGTATATTTGCATGTAATTTATCAAATGTAATGTGTATTTTAAAGTTCGAAAGAGCTATATACGACAAAAGACAGATTGACCAATTTGTTGTTAAAACCCACAGATATAATAATATTTCTGTGTTAAAACCATACCTGGACGTATTGTGCTTATAATAACTTTAATGTAGTTAGTACCAACTAGAAATAATACAAGTGAATATACATATATAACTTATACATAGGTGTATGTAAAGGTCATTTCGATAAATAATTTACGAATAAATTATAATTGTTTGTTTTTCAGGTTTACACGCATCTTATTATTTATATTCAATTGTATTATAAACCACAAAATGATAAATTATTGTTTTATTAACTTAACCTAAACTAATAAGTACTTCAAAACTAACTTACTAATCCGGTACGCGTCCGTTTAGTTATTTTCCGGTATTTACAATCCTTTTCTTGGACTGGTTCGAAAAAGAAAATTATCCGAATTGGTTCAGCCCTTCTTAAGTTTTGTACTAAGCCACACAACACTACAATTTATTTTCTTTAAAATTAGATGATTTTCACAACAAAACTATTTTAATCGTTACCACACGAGTTTTCCGGTTCACAATTCGACACAAACTACTATTTTTGAACTGGTTTTTAGTTATAATTTAATCTCTGAGTTAATTTATTTCTGAGATGGATAAACCAATTAAGTAGATTGGTATAATCCATTCCATCGAATTGTGTTTCTTTTTATTTTGGCTTAACTCGTAAATGTCCGATTATGTAAAATCCATAGCATTTGTTCGTATAAAAGTAGTCTCTAAACATTGGAAATAAGGTGTATAATAGAGTAAGTAGAGAGCGGTCGCCGGTGACCCGCTTGGGCATTCACCAGTTTGTGTTGAATTAGTTGACAAGGTTAAGGATCGTGCAGATCTGGATGCATTAAGGTACACTTTATAAAAACAGAGAAAATACCTCCCATTATTATTAGGTATAGGAATGGTTGACAAGCGTGCAGATAGATCCTCTATAAACAATGAACACCTACGATTTTAGACTAGTTACAAATGTGTTCTCGGACTTTAGGGTATTTATTTGGAGATATCGTGAAGGCAGGAGGACAATTAAGCCTTAAGTAACGTTATTCACAAGATGAAACACAACGCAAGTATTGTTTTTCTACGTGACCGTGGTATCACTCCGGTCGAGCCAAGCCACTTAGGTCGAGGCATGGCCCTCCCACGTTAAATATTACTTAAATTACATAGATTAATCTAAATATAAATAACAATAGATGTAACATATTACCTCAAACTTCTGTTGGCTGACGTCCGTCTTGTTCATGTTACTGTCGACATTCATTTCCATGTTAGACATCTTTACTAGTTTTTTTTTACTCTTTATTAATTTAAATAGTTAACAATCCCATGTTTTGGTGGCTCTCTTTGGTTAAATGATCTGAAACAAAAGAAACATAAATTAGGTATTTATTTTTAATACATAACTCATTGCTAAAAACTTGAAATGACAACGTAAGTACCTAGTCCTTTTCATAAGACTATTAGGACGAACATAGATTATTTTAAAAACCACTTCCAACCTAAATAAATCCAAATCTTAATCCAGAATCTCTAGATCGTACTGAACTGATCCAAAGATTTTAAATTATAAATTAGAAAATTCACTATTAAACTATATCTAACAATAACTACAAAAAGTATGCATATTACTACATCAATTAAGAAGTTTTAAAAACACTTTCACAGTACACTGAATCGACTGCACTCACTCACATCTCCCACAACAGTAATAAGAAAGAATGCAAACATCGATTATTATGAATTTCTCCACTTTACTCGATACACCAGACCGATAGCCGATACTGTATGTAATTGATTTGTAACAAAACCGAAGAATAACGTCCTAACTACAAAACGAATAACAACCGATATACATTTGCGGTCGTTGACCTTATGACATAATAATTATGTCTTACTTTGATCTTCATTAGGTAATTAGGTATGAAGATTAATAAAAAAAAATACTGTTCTAGAATGGAAACCAGCTAGGTGGAGTGACGATATCCGCCAGGTGGTTAGCAGTGGTTGGATGAGAAGAGCTGAAGACCGCGCTCAGTGGCGTGCCTTTGAAGTGACATATATCCAGTAGTGGACGAACACAGGCTGATGATGATGATGAATAAAATAATAATATTTTTATGAAAGTTCATAGAGATTGAAAACATAATCAAACTCCAAATTTAAAAACTAAATAAATGAAATAAAGGAGAATGGCAGGTTTGTATGGAGGTTTGGTACCGCCATAAAATTTTGTATTTGTCATTGTTTTAGCCAAGTGAATGGTCTGAACGATACATATTTTTATTATGAAGTTTAGAAAAAAATTACATATATTTAGAACTTCGGGTTCAAAAGTTATTTCACTTTGAAAATGTGCAGAAGGTACGTAAAGGCGGTATTACACTTGCCATTGCGTATTCGCTTCATTTGTACAAATATTTGTGAACTACGTACAAATGGCGTCCAAATAGTATCTATAAATGTAAAAGCGTGCAAATATATGTATATAGCAAATGAAAACGAATAAACTCTCCACACATGGTCTGTTTTGGCCGAACACAACAAATACGAAAGTATAATGCAATACCTTTACGCAAAAGTACATAATTTGACAAATGACAGATGACAGTTAATTGAAAAGTGTCAATGTGGACTTATTTATTTGGTTGTTTTGTTTACAAACTAAACTCTAAACACTGCTCGCTACTCGTGACTGTTACACTTTGTATTATGAGTAAATTAATTAACTGTTAATTCAGCAAGTATGCTGTAACTATAGAGTTTTACAGAGTATGCTTTACAATCTTTTTCATTTACTAGGTGCCTACGAAAATGCAAATTAATATTGTGAGCGACTGTCATTGGGTAGAAGGCCTACATTTAGCAGTGGACGTCTTTTGGCGGATATGATAAAACTAATGTCTCACTTCACCTTGAATCTTGCGGGCAGATGCAAGATTTAATGTGTAAAATCAAGATTCGAGGCAGAGGCCTGATATACAAATAGTCTTTAAGTTAATTCGATTTAAACTTAAGCGTAGCTCTTTGAGAAAGTATTTCTTCTGAAAACTGGTTGCTTAGCAAGCGTTTTAAGGTTTAATTTCTAATAAGTAAGTCAAATAAGTAAAATCATCATCAGTTTCATCATTAAGTCTATAAGTGGCCCATGCCGACCGAAGGTCTCTTCTCACTGGATTAGGTTTAAGCATTAACTCGTTGAGTACCGTAATTATAGACACAATTAAAGAACAATAGGTTGTGGTCATCGGTGACCGCTCTGTGTTTGACAGTTTAATCAGTACGCTAGCTTAATGTGGGTTGGTGATTTCAAACTTATAATTAGAAATTATAAGCCCAGGTTTCCTCACAATGTTTTCCTTCACCGTTTGTCAGTGGTGTCTTTGTACTTTCTTAGATTATTAAATAATAAATAAAAAATATATATACATAACTCGAAAAAGTCACATTGGTACTTTGCCGTTGCAACTTGCACTCTCATGCATGAGAAACGGGCTTCTTAAACCTCCTGGCCACCACAACACAAGTAAAGAAATGTAAAATGAAAATGAACATTTTTGGTATAAAACTAAAGCAATCTAAAATAAAGATGGCATTTATTTTATAGATTGTTTATATATAGTTACTAGGTACCTGTTTAAAATAAAACAAATGTATTATTTTGAAATACTTTTATTTCATTGTATTTAGGTTGTTTCTAGGAGTACTTCTTCTAAAAAGAGAGCAGGCGGTGTCATACAGCACACACTTCATTAATTGCTGATATCTGTAAACAAGTAAGATAACTGTAAATAAAGTAAACAAAACAACATTTTTTCCATTAGTTTCACATGTTATAATTCTGATTCCCTATCTCAAAATAGAAAAGATAAAAATAAATATTTGATTACATTATTTGATTTTACAATGTTAAAATGCCTTTAACTCGTCGAGTACCATCATTATAGACACAATTATAGAACAATAGGTTGCGGTCACCGGTGACCGCTTGGTGTTTGACAGTTTAATAGGGTATTCCTATAACACACATCATAGGAGCTCAAACAGCATGCTAATTAATCAATTATTATAATTATAACATGTGTATAAACCTATTATAAACCGGTTATACACTTCACATACCTATTGAAGCTCTGACAGCCGATCAACATCTTCTGGCCTCATCTGTTCTACAAACGGCAATGTTAAAGTGAGGCTTAGTCCATTGTGTATGTGAACTTGTATGTTTGTAAACGCACCCACGACACAGGAGAAAATCCTAGTGTGGGGCAATTTTTTTTTTTTTTTTTTTTTAAATGTTTACATAACACATTACATCCTGATAGTGAACACTATGAGGTGGTATGTCAGGTTGTGGTCTTATAGATCCGACTCTTGTTAAGGCTCTCAGCCAGCATGGAACACGATCTTCATCATTGGAAGTAAGCTAAAAAAAGTAATATTATTAGAATGTCATATTGACTTTAAATTATATGATAATAGTATATGGTTAATACAATAAATTATTACCTCTCGTGGCTGAATCCAATCAGATACTATATGAGCTAGTCTTTGCTCTTGTTCGTTGGCGCCTTCAATTAAACCCCTGCGTCACCTTATCCTTGCAATGGAATGCCCACATACGACACAGACATGTTGATGATCAGTTTGTTTGCTGGACATACTTTCAGGAACATCCCAATACATTGCTAATTGCCAGCAAGCATGGCAAATATGGTCGGTTGGAGAGATCTAGAATAAAATGATACATTATAGGTAGATAACACTATGCCCCCTTTATTTAGGCAACAAGGTGACTTTCGATACGTCATGTGTAAACTAGGTAAGTACCTACTTACATCTCTAGGATAAGTCCACAATGGGATACTGTTGACCACGTCTAGTCTTAACTCTCATTTCCTAGAGCATGCCGTCTCATGCGACAATCTCTGGTTGTAATTAATGCACTGTAAATTCGTCATCGCGACAAAATACAACACACTATGCACAAATGAAAATAAGTGTATTTTCGCAATTTCGGCTACCGAGGAACGGCTGCCCAACTCAACGTATCACCAGATGAATAAAATGACTTCCAATTTGTACAAACACATCATAACACTGCATTCGAAACCAACAGCAATGCGCACTTGACATTGACAAATCGTCTTCAACAACAAATGTCAAATACCAGTTCAACATTGCCATATTTAAGTTGTGAAAATGTTAATTATCGTTAATAATCCATGTAGACCTCACAAAATGAAATTAAAATAATGATATTTACTTATAAAAATGTTTGAAATGGAAAGGAAGATATTTCATTGTTAGATATTAAAATAAATGAGTTTATGAAATAGCGGCATTCAATATACAGTGATTTCATGTTTACGCATGGTAACTTTATAAACGTCAATCGCGGTTTGTTTTTTATTTATGTAGCCGTTTTGTTGATTGCTTCTTATCATTATTGAATATCAGATTTTCTAGGGTTTCCCAAGTTCTAAAAATCTATTAAATATGCTAACATAACGTATTTAGAGGATTCTATAGCTGCCCAATTGCCCAAGGCAAAACAATGACAAATCTTTATTTAGCAAAGCGGTACGAAATCTGCCGTTCTCCTTTATTGTTTGCCAAGCAATACTGAAACCAATTTTCAAAAGGTAGAGTACATTTCTCAATGAACATATTATGTCATAAATTCTCAATAAGATAGCCTGTCTTGATTTATTGTGGGTATTATCGTGTATCAGTGATAACAGATCTTATTATATCAGTGTAAATTAAACCAATCAACATGTCATCGCAACTAGCAACGACGATGTCTTAACAACTAGACGTTATTTAATGACCTAATCTATTAACTAACTTTCCGCTGGCTTTGCCCACGTGGAATTAAAAAAAAAATAGTCGGGTTTGGAATCTGCTGAATATCAGTATAAAATATAACTAATAATATAAAAATGGCCGCTGCAAAACCGTTCGACAATTTATTAAAATATAACTTTAATTACGCGAAATTTTTTTAGCGACCGCCTCGTTGGCCGTGTCACAGTTGTTACTGGCGGACAGGGGGTCTCGGGTTCGATTCCCGGGTCGGGCAAATTATTACTGGGTTTTTGGAAATGTGTTCGGTAAATGGCAATAGGGTCACCCCCTATTACATGGGACTATGGGAATGGACTATGACTATGGGAAATAAATAGTGAAAAGTGGGTGCTACATTGTAGGTACGGTGGCATTAAGTGCCGTAAAGTCTGCCTCTGCTTACACCTTCGGGGATAAAAGGAGTGATGTTATGTTATGTCTTTTGAGCGACTACGTAAAGAGTTGTAAAGACACTTACAGTATTTGGTTTCCCTCGTAAATCTATACTTC